TATTAAGAGTACTACAATCCTCGAGTACTCGAAGATAAATCTACGATAAAAATTCGCAAATCCTAGAAAGGACTATACCTCCGTTAAGGTAGTTAGTATTAGCTACGCTCCGATTGCGTCTACCCTACGAGGGTCTATCTTTACGCCGCCGGGGGTTACGACGAACCCGAGGTAATCGACCTCCTTTATAAAGAATTTGTACTTTATATACTACGCGTAGAGTACGAATTTACGGAGCCTCTTAAGCACTTCGTATACGTCCTTTATATACTACTCGCGTGTCTTACTATAGATAAGGATATCGTCGAGGTATACTACGTAGGTAATATTAACTAGTCCTACTAGAGCTCGGTTGATATACGCCTAGAACGTCGCTAGGGCGTTGGTTAGACCGAAAGGTATAACCTTATACTAGAAGTAACTATAGCGTATACGGAACGTAGTCTTCTAGCGGTCGCTTTCCTTAATCTTGATACGGTAGTAGGTATCGGCTAAGTCTAGGTACGTAAACTATTCGGCTCCTATAAGCCTATCTAGCGTTTCGCCTATAAGGGGTAGGGGGTACCGGTTTTTTACTATAATTTCGTTTAGGCCGCGATAGTCTACGTATAGTCGTAGTAAACTATCCTTCTTTAGTACGAATAGTACCGGCGCGCCTACTTTACTTATACTAGTCTTAATCCAGTCGTGTTCTAGTATATTAGTAATATATTTATATAGGTGCTTAAGTTTAGCGCCGGACTAGTAGTACAACGGTCGAAACGGTAGAACGGTGCCTAGCCGTAGGTCGATCGTATACTCTACGCCGTCTACTAGTTTGCTACGCTGTTCGTCTATAGGAAACAAGACGTCGTAGTAGTCCCGATATTCTATTAGCAACTCCGTAAGCTCTAACCCTACGTCTGTCCTACGTACTATTACTACGTATATATAGGACGAGTTCTTTAGGTCCTTAAAGAAATCCGGTACCTCTCGGACCTTAACGTATAAGTGCTCGCTACCGTAGCGCTATTCGTCGGTAGTACTATCTACTACTACTTACTAGGTACGGCGCTATAGCCGCCCTAGGATAAGATTAGGTTCCGGCGTATCGTAGGTATAAAACAAGCCGCCTATCGTACGCTCGTTACCCGTAGAGTCTACGAGGGTTATATAGATATAGTACGCTCCGTAGTAGTAGCCTAACTAGCCTATAAACGAGCTCGCCGGCGGTAGGAGTATATTCCTACAAACCGCAAGGTTATACTTTAGTACGAAGCTACGCGATACTACGTTAATATTAGCGGTATCGTCGAGTAGTATAGTAGTAGGGGTACGCCCCTTATACGTCTCGACTTATCCTTCGAGGATACGAGTATAGTATACCTAGATAGGCAAAGGTATATTGCCGTCAAGATTAGTATCTAGAGATTGCGACTCTCCTCTAATACTTTCTCTTTTTTTAACGCTTGCTCTTTAGGTATAGTAACCCTACGAACTGTATTCGCCTTATCGCGGCTTGCGTAGTTAGAGTATACGGAGTCGGTCGCGATATATCCCTTCTTCTTATAGAAGTAATACTCTAGGTTCTCGTACCTACGTACCGTCGACGGCGTTATAGTCGATAAGGTACGCCCGTCGCGTAGGACCCTACTCTTGCTACGATCCTATTAATCGTAGTTTCGTAGTACGTCGCTCTCGGTACGCTTGCGTTTGCCCTACGTACTATAGTCGCGCCGATAGGGCTCGTCCTTAGTACGGACTACTAGAGCGTTGTCTACTTATTCTAGGCGCCTTACTAGGTTTACGAGCTCTACTCGCGTATTAGGGATAGTATGTCCCTTAACGATATCCCTACGTAGCGACGGCTTTAACTTTGCGAGGAAGTAGCGTATTAGCTACGCTTACGTATAGTTAAACTAGGCTTCTAGATAACTAAGCTATACTACGAAATAACGGACGCTCTAGTCCGGGCCTTAACGTACCCTTTTATACTCGATTATTACGCCGATCTGACGGTTCGACTAATCGCTAACGGTATTGCGGAGCTATCCTTTAAATTCCTCCTAAGTATAGTCCTTAGGGATTACGTCGGAATACTCGTCGTACTACGTCTCCTATACTTCGCCTACGAGCTATATAATACTATATAGGACCTTGTCTTAGTCGGTTCGATATTCTCGGGGGGCGCTAAGGAATACGACCTCGAGGTACCTAATAAAGTTACGATATTCCTTATCGGTGTCTCCTTTAAACGGCTTAGGTTCTCGAATCTTAGAGCCTCTATATAGGGAGTAGGTACGCGACGGGTTCGTAGCCCGCCTACGTACGTTACGTAGGTCCGTCGACCTAAGGTCTTCCTCGAGTCCGTCGAGAAGATCGGGCTCGGCATCGTCGTTGTCTATAGTAACTATAACGGCTAGAGTTAGTACTTAGCCCTAAATTTACTCCTATAGACGTTAGTTCTCCCTCTCGAGGGCCTGAACTTCTAACTCTATACGGAGACGCTAATTTGCCTCCTCGAGCTATATATATCTAGTATACGGGTCGACTACGTAGGCCTCCGGCTAGATAGGAGCCTCCTCGAAAGGAGTCTCCCCTAGGTTCCTGTCTACCTAGGTATTTATAGAGCCCGATACCGTCTCCTCGGAAGGTTAGGCATCCTCGTCTACTTCGCCGATAACGCGGCCTACCTATACTATAGCTACGGCGCGGTCGCGTTGCTGTCGTAGGGCTATCGGACCTCTATAGATTACTACCCTTTAGAAGGATAGAAGAATTAGAAATATAAGAGTAGGGTATATATAGTAATATATAGAGCGTCCTTTCTACTGCGTAGGAAAAGGAACAAACTAATTCTTGTCCTTCGGAAAGGAGAGGGCGGCGTTGTATAATATACCCCTACGCTAAGCATACGTAGGCGCTACGCCGCGCGGGCGGTCGTCCGATAGCCGATCGCCCGACGACTCGGATTGTACTACTTCTATAGCCCGTCCTGCCTTAGGCTAACGTACCTTAGGCTCAAATACCTGACCGCCCCCTAGGGCTATATGCCTCTAGGCCTAGCTGTTATATTAGGGCTATAATACTACTATACTAAGTACTACAACCGGTACTATCTACTACCGCTACCGTACCGCGCAATATACGTAAGTACGTTAAGAATAGCCGTAAGCGATATACTATTATTCCCCTTAAAATACGGTATACTATTAAGGCCTTAGCTTAATAGGCCGGCTAGAAACTTACTCGAATTGCTACTGCCTTAGATAAACTATATTCTATAGTCTATAGTATAGTAAATAAAGCTATTGCCCTATAGATAGATAGAGCTAAGCGGTTACTTAAGAAATATAGTACCTCTATCGCTAATCGGATTATCGCTTTTGTTACTCGTAACGAAAATAGCTATAGAGCGACCTACAACTAGATTAAGACAGTACTAGAATTAGAGTATTCGGAGTCGACGATCCGCCGGTAGCTCTAGGAGAGTAGATACTATCGTCTAGTTGCTCGATATACCCTATAGTTAGACAACGAAAACATAGATCTACGTAGTTAATTCGGGGAGTAGTGCCTAATATAGATAGCGAAGCTATTTATCTTTAGAGATACCGTAGTATTCGGTCGGAAGGGTATATAGTAGTAGAGAGTAACTCGTCGCCTAGGTAAGTACTATAGTAGATAGGTAGGAGAAGAGAGAGTCCGAATAACTAACCGTCTAGGTAAAGTATATAATCCTAACTACCTCCGGCTATTGTTTAAGGATATAGACAACGCTTATTACTACTATAGCTTTATCTATAGCTCTCGGAAGTTACGACTTATCTATTAGGACCGTTATACCCTAGGTAATATAATCTAGGCTACTCTAGTATAGTATATATTGCCCGAACTTATCCGCTTCTAGTAGGAGTATACAATCGTATTAATCGACGATAGCCCGCTAAGGTTAGAGAACGACCTAGAGAACGAAGACGTATTCGAGCTCTCTCTAGGACTAATTCCCGAAATTGCTCTTTCTAATACTATGTTCTATACTCTTATTTAGGGCAGAATCGACGTCGATAGCTATAATCTAGCTATTATCGTACTTAAGAATATGCCTATTCTCGTACTCGATAGAGCGTCGACCTATAAGGGCGAATTCTAGCGAGAAATCGAGAATCGTAGTATTCTATATACTCTAGATATCTAGCCTCCTAACTCGCTAGATTTAAACTGTATTAAGAACGTCTAGGCACTAATAAAAGTACGTCTAAACCGCTTGCTATACGTAGGTACTAATAAGCAACTTATAGCTTAAGTCTAGTAACAATAGGACTCGATTACGGCAGAGGAAATCGAGGTAATTACGGTATCGTTTCGGCGACGAATAGAGCTTTTAGGCGAGCGCGACGGCATATTTATCGGTTACTAGATTAGTGAATAGCACCGGCGCAATCGATTGCGTACGTCGGTAAGCGCGTAAGTATATAATATTAGTCGATATTCTAGGCATAGAGATAGTCACTTATTTATAGAATTCCTCTCTACTAAATTTTCACGATACGTAAGATCGGATATCCGCTCGGTAAGCTCCGTAATTGGTGGAATTGGTCATAACTAATCACCGGGGTAGCCTACAATTTTCATAGTGCGGATGGACTATCGAACGGCTGTAGGAGGGCTGTGTACCTCCTACCTGATCCAAGCCTACCTTACCTTACCTTACCTAGCTACCTCTTAGCTGAATCAGCAGGGCGCATACAGCCACGCATACCTTCACGCTATTGTGTGCGTGAGACAGTACCAAAATAACTGACCTTCCCAAATTTACGTCTACCTACTTCTTGGCACTCACTTCGGTCAGTCATCAGAAGGAAAAGAGAAAGGTGGCGTGGCTTCTCATTCATCATAGGTACCTGCAAGGTACATGTATAATCAATCATCTCATCAGCCTGGTTGCTGTTTCCATACCGGGATATCTGTACAGTGTCATCCATCCATCCATCCATCCCATCATACCTAGTCGTTGTGCATCACATCATGTTCGTGCTGCCTCCCGGAGTGGTGGCCCCCATAAAGACCGAACTTCCATTGGGCCCATTATGAGGCTGCAAATGCTGCTGCTGTTGCTGTTGCTGTTGCTGTTGGAATTGCTGAGTAGTAGTACTACTACTACCCTGCCCATGAGCATCCGAAGCAAGATCGAGGTTCATGGGCCACATGGCGCTTGTATCCATGCCGCCACTACTCGTCCCTTGGATGTACGAGTCCCATGCGCCCTGTTTTTGGTACCTTGGTCAGCATTGCTTCGACGGTAATGCACTGCTACTACTACTCTACTACTATGCAATAACAAAACGATGCAACTTACCCAATCAATGTCGCCCGCGTCCATGCCCATGAAATGGCTGCTCTGCGCTATCATTTGGCTCATGGGGCTGGCCGCCCCGCCCATGCTCGAGCTTTCGGGTCCGGAGTATTGTGGAGTCAGACCAGTACGTTCGCTTGTCGGGTCGTTTAACAGTGCAGCCATGCTTGCAGGGTATTGCTGATGCTGCTGCTGCTGCTGCGGAGACACTACTGCAACTTGGGGCATAGTCATACTGAAACCTGGTGATATGCCACCAGAAGACAACATACCCAAGGTCATTGCGGCAGACTGCTCCGGGGGCAAGTCGTCCGTGTCGATATCAGCTCCATGATTGTTGCCATTGGGAAACATGCCGCCGTAGTTGATCGCTGCACTGCGATTGGCATACGTCTGCGCTTGCTGCGACGGAGGATACGCCGGAGCTGCCCTCTGCGACTGGTTCGCCTTGAGATTCTCCACCATGACACGCAGCGCAACCGATCCTTTATACGCCTCCATCGACTGATCACGGACGGCCTCCCAAATGGTGATGCAGTGTTCCACAGCTTGCAGCATCTGCTCTCGTCGACCCTTATCATACACATCGGCCACGAGAGGTGACGTGGGTTGGTTTGTGCTTCGTGCTTTCCGCTCTGATTCTGCAGTGTGGTAGAGATCCAGACAAACGAGCATTGCCGAGAGGAGAAAGTCGTGTGTAGTCAGCGATGATATGTACCACTTCACAGACCGCAATCGTCCACCAGGCTGTGACTCGCGGTGCAGCGTCGCTTGATGGTCTAGAAGCTCCATTGCGGCGTCCAAACACGTCCGTCGGGAGTAGGCATACCGCGGACTCTCTCGCCCTCGAGCGATAAACCGGCGATGAAGCACAAATAGAGAGCGCAAGTACACCATTTCCAGGCCTAATCGCTGCATGATGAGGTTGGCAGGGTCACGCGCCGACTCTTGAAATGTTCGCATTTTTAACAATGGAGGATGTTGACACCGCATCTCTCGCAACTCCGTGTCATACTTGAGCGTCTCTTCGTAGGAGGGTGGGTTGGTCACGGATTGCGTGTGTTCCACGATCTGGCCAAACAGAAACGTCATTCTGCTCTTCGTGATCATATAAGACATTGGCGTCGCCTCAAACGCCGGTCTCGATGGTGGCAAGCTCTTCATGTCTTCGAACAGCTCATCGTCGTACAGGTTTCGAGGCGGTTCGGAGTCCATATGATCTGATCGAATCATGGCAGGGAGACCAAATTGAAAGGATATGAGACAATCAAACTGTCGCACAAACGTCCACACTCGTCTTCGCAGCTCCCCTTGAAATGGTGTGATGGCGGGATGCGGTCCAGGATCTCTGTGATAACCCATGCGCATTGCCAGACGCACACACAGTCCGGTCAACAGCAATACCGAAGGCTCAGCGTCTCGGGATCTGCTGTACTCGGCCTGCATGTGCAACACGAGCGTCTCGAGGGTCTGCGGGTGCGCTTGCGTCAAGTCGCTGAGGAGCAAGGCCTGCGCGGTAGATTTCCTGTAGGAGTAGGAAAGCTGGAGTGTTCTGCCTCGATACTCTGGCGGCTCGTCACCTGCGCGGTGATATGATTGTAGCGCCAGAGTCATCATGGCGAAACACATGCCGAGCCAGATGACGCTGGACTCGAGCGGATTCAGCCAATGTTTGTCGTATTGCTTCTGGAATGACGGTCCATGTATGATATGTACAGAAGGGTCGTACGCGTTGAAATATCGCGCGATCAACCGATCCGCATCTGCTTTGGAAGGATACGCCGCGAGCAGCTCGCTTTTGTCCTTGGCCGCAGGTCCTTGCAGCAGGAACGCCGTATTCGAATGATTATCCGCTTTGAGTGCCTGGACTTTTTCCAAATGGTGCTTGTAGTCCTCCTTGTGGCTCTCAAAGTACTTCTTGACCTCACTGATTTCGCCCAGGATGGCATACCAATGCGCGTCCGAGGCAAATATGGCCTTGCCATTGTCCATCTTCATGATGCCAATGCCACGAGAAATGCCCTCGACCTCGCTCTCTTCTTCGCCTTCACCCTCTTCACGGATCGTGTCTTGCCCGCCGCCCATACTCAACTTCAATTCCGAACCAGTACTCAAGCTACTACTCCTGCTGTCGCCTATGACAGCTTGCGCAGCAGATGTCGTTGCGGGCTGCGAGCCGCTCGTCATGAGCGACAACACCAAGCCTTCGAGACGATCTATACGTTCTTGCATGTGATCCGGAGAGGCATTCGGCCTACCGCCGCTGCCCTTCTTCCTGTTCCCGGGAGTCGCATAGCTGCAATTTCCTGTATCGCCTCTCTTGGAGCAATTGTCGCACGGATGTCCTCGGTTGCATTTCAACTTGCGATGTCGACAAGGCCCGCACGACAGCGGCACTCGGTTGCGTTTGCGAATCACCCGTCCCGCGAAGGGTTGCCCATCGGGAGATGCGCCGTTGGGGGACGACGTAGACGAGGGCGGCGTTGGCTGCACCATGCCGTCGTCTCGCAACAACGCTGCGGATTCAGAGGCGTCGCGGCCTTGTCTGCGTAGGTAAGGGTCCTTTCGGGGTTGCGCAGTCGGTCGCGAAGAATCTCGAATGCGATCCAAGTCAGCTTGGGACTCTGGTGTGCACGATCGACGTTGTCGCAAGTCGCAAGTGCTCCTCGTCATCCAATCGCGCTCACGCTAGCGGTTTCGCAGATGCCGCTTACACATGTGTACGACGAGCCTGTGAGCCGGAAGATGATGATGCTGATGATGATGGTCGCCGGGCACGATGAAGATGATGAGTGTGAGCTGTGTTCAGTACCAGGCAACCAGGTACATCCACGGACATGAAAGTACACGAAAGGTGGTGACTGTTTCACTTCCACTTCGAGCGACCTACTAGTCTTTCTCTGCACCCTCACGTGGCTACCTCCTAGCTAAATGTACCTTCCAAGTTCTGGAGATGATTGTAAATTGGTGTGAGATGGTCAGGAACGCACTCATCAATGATCCTTGTCTTTATCGTGCGTGCTGCTTGTCCACCGGAGATAGCCTGCATAAATCCGAAAACGGTCTCGGCCCTCCTCCCCCCTAGATGTACTGAACAACTTCACTCAACTTGACGCTGCGGGCACACGCTTAGGAGATCTTCCGCTGAACTGGGCCTATTACCCAGCCACTAACTGCCGACTCTGGGAAGAATATTTCCCTTGATCCATCTTCATCTTCATCTTCGTCCTCATCCTCCAAGATCCAATAACAAATTCCATCATGAATCCTTCAACTCATACATGATAATCACCATCCTGATAAAAGCTCTCTTTCGGTCTCTCTCTCTCTCTGTCTCCAGAGCGCGCAAAAGTCTTTCGAATCCAGTTCAAAAGTAGAAAGTTTGCTCCAGAACAAAGCTCGGAGACGTGCGCGCGACTCGACTTGATTTTGCCCGGACTGAATCGATGTTGTGTAGTGGTGGTGGTGGTGGTGGGGATGATGATGGTTGTAGTAGAGGGCTTGTGGCGACCGGTGATGTTTCGATTTCGATTTCATCGTCATCCTTATCATCTCTGTCCTGGATTTCTTCTCCTTCCTCTCCTTCTTGTCCTTCCTCTCCTTCCTCTTCTCCTTCTTCTTCCTCTTCTTCTTCAAGACGAAAAAGGCGTTCCTCCTACATGGTCAAATCCATCCTCGACTGCAAACCCACCAGATTGCACCACACGCCATCTTGCTGCTGTCTTTTTCTCCCCGCTGCTGACGTCTTGTGGTGTGTGCTATTCTGTTTCGGAGTTGCCATGGGCACACCCTTGAGTTTCAACCACGTTCTCGAGCCGAGCTGTCGGACGGAGTGGAAGACTGGCGAGAGGCATACCACCTTCAAGGCGTCGGCGTGTTTTCTCTTCATTTTGTTTTGTTTTGGAATTGAAGTTCTTCTTCTTCTTCTGGGAGAAGATGGAGGAAGAGGAGAATGAGGACCTCGTGGTGATGTTGCCGTGAGTTCTCAACACCGAACAGGCCTCCCCTTTTTCTTTTCTCTTGTTCTTTCAACAAAATTCAATATCCGCTTCCAGGTGTCTGGCTATTTGGCATTAATCTTCGTCCCGTAAATTCGTTCCTTCCTTGGGGTTTGATCGCGATAGTGGAAGACGCCCTTCAAAGCAATAAGAACACCAAAGACCAGCACAATTCCAATCTCGTAAGGGCTGCCGCGTTGTGTGATCGGTGACATGGCCTTGCTCCCTCTCTCTTTTCTCTCTGGGGGGGAAGAGGTCCTGTGTTCAGCTTTATGTCTTGTTCATGAAGAGAGAAGAACAAGAAAGAGAAGGAAGAGAAAGAAGGTTCGTTTGGGGAGAAAACAAAGTTAGATATAACGCAAGAATAAAAACACACAGTACCTGATCTAGCGATGAGCTACCAGAAACTGATGACAGAAAGCACTTTTTTTGGTTCTTCCCCCGTTCGTAAAACTTGTCGCAAGTAGTAGTGTACGAGGCGTCATGCAATCCTTGCAACGACGAACGCCTCTTTGATCACTCACCCACCCACGCATTCACCCAACTCAACTCACCTCAACCCATACCTGGTAAACTACGTTCCTTGGAAATGCGATATGAGTGGGCTTTTCACCAAGAGGAGGGTATATGCTGGCAGAACCCAACAAAAACAAACAAACGAAACATGACACCTCCTGCTATCATCATCGCCAAGAAGCACGATGGGAATAAAACTTGGTAGAAGTACACTGTCACGAGGTTGGCCCAAACAGGGGTTACAGGTTTTGCTTTTTTGGCTTCTGACTGGAAACCTGACACTTGAGAATCCAACCAACCTCCTCCTACCTCCTCCTACCTGTAGTAATAATGTAGGTCAGGTCAAGTCAGGTAGGTAGGTAGCATGACTCCAGACCACCACCTAGTGAGATTTGGGTAAGGTACTGGTAACTGTACAGTAGTAATAATACAGGTAGCTGTCACGGTATCGTATTCTGATACCATCCACAAAAAAATACGCCTTTTTTTTCAGGTTACATCCTAGTCTTACCTCCTAGTGCTGTGTCAAGTTTTTTGCTTGCATGAGGTCGGCATCAATGATGATATGATATAATCCTGTTCTATACCTGGTATGTACGGTACAGTATCAGATGTAAGAGGTACATGTATCTTTTCAACATCAAGGTCCCAAGCGCTTTCAGCTTCATACATCGGACGATGATGATGATGATATTCCTGTTTCTGCTCCAGTTCCATATCTTTTCACAACAACAATCTTGCTGCAGCAGCGCTTCCAGCTTCCAGCTTCAGCTTTCACAAGCTCAAACACCGATTCCGATTCCAACGTTGAAAAAAATTCTGTACAGTACATCGCTCGATGCATTGCTGTCCATGAATGTCAGGTAGACAGACAGACAGACAGATACATGAAAAATTCCCTAATCAAACTTGAATAAGGTACCTACCTGAGGATCTCGATCATCGATGGGCATATGCAATTGTCAGGAATATGTCCCTAAGGTAGGTACTGCTTTCTAGGTTGGTAGTGTATGTAACATCCAACATACCTGACTTGTCAAGTCACCTCAAGCTTAGCGGGTGCTCTCACACATATATCCATTCATTCATTTATACCGATCAAGTAGAATGTGATGTACCTACCTATACGTCTGAACCTAGCTACCTCACCTTTCAGCTGTATCGAGTATCGAGTAGCAGTAGCAGCAGCAGCAGCTCCTTTCACGCCTTTTGATACAATGTATACCGACTCGTATTATTCTGGCACGAGGAAACGTCTCATGTTAGGTTGTATTGACTTCCCTCGCCTTACGTCGCCTCGTCTCGCCTCACATCTGCAGCTGCAGCTGCAGCTGCAGCTGAAGCTGCAATCGACGATGTATTATAATAGTGCAGAGCAGAGCAGAACAGAATGTGTGATAATTGTGTGCATGTATTCATTACTTGTCTGCTAGCTTTCTTTCTTTCTTTCTTGATATACATACAAGTATAAATCTCAAACGTCTCTAAAACTGCCCGCCTTGGACCGGTCTTCTCCCCATCCCGCCACTACCACCACCAAAACCGCCGCCTCCAGGAGTCAGAATGTCAGGCGGACTCATGGGGCTCACGACGTCATTCGTACTCATATATGAAGGCGGCCCCGTGGTGTGGGACGCATAGTATGGAGAGTTATTCGTGGGCGTATAGTTGTTACGCGATGATGATTGCATCCCAGAGGAGTAAAAATCGTTGTTGCTGTTGTTGTTTGCGCCAATAGGCGATGGATTATTAGTATAAGGCGACAAGGGAGATGCGTTGCCTGCAGTGTGGTAGCCTCCAGACATGGGACTGCGATAGGAAGTTGGGTTGCGTGGGTTCTGAATCTGCTGCTGCTGCTCGTAGACGGAGGACGGGGACTGGGGCTCCGCGAGGTTGTGATAGGAGTTCTGATGCGTTCCATATGGTGAATCGTGCTGCGGTGTCCGAGCACCCGTGTAATAGCCTGTTGCTCCGACCTGGCTGCTGCTATGATATGGACTCCTGCCAGTGTTCTGTTGACGTTGTTGTTGTTGTTGTTGTTGTTGCTGATCATAATCTCGATAATATGGATCCATCTGTGCAGCGTGTCCACCAGCACCCATATACCCCATGTCTCCCGTGGAACCATTTTCTTGCCCACGATAACCTGCCATACTTGCAGCAGCAGCAGGCGACTCCAACGCCTGCTGCCCATTATTATTGTAAGAATTCGGATTCTTCTGCTGATGATTCAACAGTCGCTCACTCTGCGCCGGCACAGAGGATGTCACGACCTGATTGTCCATCTTATCCAACTCCACATCTTCCTCCAACTGCTCAATGCGCCGACTCGAAGCATTCTGCCAACTGGGCATAGCAGGTAAAGCATCTTCGTTGTAAACTTTCTGACTACTCGGCGCGTCGAACGTGGCCGTTTGCGCAACATCTTTGCGACTCCCTCCTCCATACCCAGCAGCACCTCCACTCACAAGATAAGGATTCTGCATCGGCGGTGGCTGAGCGTACTGGTATGGTATCGGCGGAGCTTGTTGATAGCCCTTCTTCTCTCGTCGACCTCGCGGCGAGGGACAGCATGCGTTACAACAGCTCAAGCAGCCGCAACAGCATTGCATTCCACAGCAGAGACATCGGGCAATACACCAGATGAAGGAGAATGCGATCAAGGAAGCAATAATGATTGCGACGATGACGGGCCATTTGCAGTAGGTCTTGCTCATGCAATTGTCCCAGCTGGAGAAGGTGTTTTGCACGCCAGCGACGCGGTCACTGACGTCTGCCGCTTGCGAGGCCATGCTCTCTTTCTCTTCCTCTGTCTCTCTCTCTCTCTCTCTCTCTCTGTCTCGATCGCGAGTACAGCTATGCAGTGCTTGTATCCCTATTTCATATCCAATATGCCTGGCAGTACTGATACCTCCTTTGTACCTGTAATTCCCAGCGAGCGTATAATCAGGCAATGATAATGAATCCAATGATAAGGTACCAGGTAATGATAGGTAACAACAAGTCCTGCAAGCGAGCGTACCGTGCCCAAGCTAAGTAAGTCAAGGGAGAAAGAGGAAGAAGAAATTAAAAAGCGGCCAGCAGCGACGGGACTCTATCACGCACACGCTATCACCCAAGTCAATCCATGTGACGGACGCGAGGCTGAGTTGCGTTCGTCGGCGCGTCCTTGGCCCTTCTCCCCTTCTCCCCTCTTCCCTCTTCCCCCCCATGGATGGCGGCATGGCCGTCACCTGAAACCCCAGATGGTGGCGTTTTATGGTGCGACAGATCCTCGGACCGGGGGAGCCACGACGACACCGCCACCGCCGCCGCCGCCGTAAATAGATCTACCTTACCTCCTAGGAGGTACCGACATGTACCTATGCAATATGCATGCTTACCTTACTCTTGTACGGATCAACGACAATGACTATTACACAGTCGTTGGTTGGTTGCTTGACACAAGGTATCGATACACAAGGTAGGTACCGCTTCTTCCACTCTTATGGTTGGTGGAGGTAGCTATTTTGAACGTTGTATGCATGCAGCGCAAATGTCATTTTTCGTATTGGAATATGCAGCTACAGTAAGGTAGGTATATCGTAGGTATGCTTCAATCAAAGCCTGTACCTCGTTGACGAGCCTTCTAACCTTTCGGCGTCTTCCTCTTGCCCAGTGTCGATGTGGTACGAGTATGCACCGATGGCCTCTCGTTCTTCTCCTCCTCCTCTCGATCGCTGTAGAAGCTCCCCAGTATCCTCCCTCGATGCTCGACCAGCTTGTCATGTTGTTCCAATGCCTCCTTCAACGGGTTGTATCTCCATCCCAATTCCTCATCAAGGATCAGCTGTGTATATGCGAACAGGCTGGCATCGAACAGGCCGGGTTCCTTGGCTCCAAAGAACCACTCGTCTCGCTGTAGAAGAGCAGACAGTGCCTCGAATGCCTCTGTTGCCTCCTTGATCAAAACTGCTGCGTCCACCACATTCGTTCCTGCGCTCTTGACCAGCTCTGCCTCTGCGGCGCCCCGCAGTTGTCGCGTCGTAGCAAATCGTACAAGAGCATTATTCGAGCAAGGATACACGTAGAGCCGCTGCATGAGGGCGTCATTCTGAGGTGCGAGATACAGTTGGTACAGCCAGCATTTTCGCAGCCGATTGTCCACGAGGCTTTGGTATGCATCGGCACGAGTATCATGAATGTCCGAGAGGTCCAGTGCGCGGTTGAGCGCCTGTTTCGTGAGCCATTTCTTCAGCTTGTTTGCTGGGACTGGATCGGGTGTAGTCCGAGTACCGTCAGCGATGGCGGGTTGGAGGAACGGCAGTGAGCCAGACGGCGAGGCGTGATTGTTGGAGGATACCAGAGTGCATTCGATGCCACTGAGGCGCAGATACGTCTACTCGTTCCTTGTTAGCACATAGCCATGCCCATAGTTTCAGCGTCCACCTGCTACTGCGTCCACATCACCATTCTTACCTGCCACTTCAGACAACTTGGATTATAGCTCGGTCTGCCGTGCTTCGCGTCTTGTTCAGTCGTGAACACGTGTAACTTGTGTGCACTCGCCGCCCTCGGCGCTCTCCATGGCAGGTCGTTCGCCTCGTACTCTCGCAACGGAAACTGGTCAAACACGCGTTTTACCGGCGGCGGCAGCGAGAAGATGCTCGCTCGGGGCTGGACGGGGCCATCTGCCATGGTGGAGAGAGGCACAGCACGCCTGGCGCTGTCTCCATCGGACGTGTCATTGTCGGGCATTATGGTCATCCATGGCAAAATGGTGTTGTGTGATTGATTACATGTCCAGAAGGACTCCAAATTTTGATGCGATACTGACGCGGAACTTACTAAAGGCGATGTCACAGGCGGAGGTGCCTTGTCTTGTCCGCCGCATGGGCCGAGATTGATCCGAGTCTTGACCCAGCCTCAGGACGGCTGTGAGGAAGTCAAGTGGAGGCATCAAAAGGACGGCTCAGTACACTTCCTCTCTCCTCACGCAATACAAATAGACAATTGTTCCTGTGAAATGCCATTCTCATATTGTAGGTCTGCTGCCCATTTCTACAGACTGCCATGTGTTTGGAGAAGTTGTTGAGACTCTCCCATCCTTCCACTCAATCCACATGTTCTGTGCTTCGACTGCCTTTAGATGCTAGGACTTCTTCTGTGTGCCAGGTACTTTTAGGTTCCCTCCTCCAATAACTCAGGTATGCTGGATGCTTCGTCGTCTTTCTCGTCATTCGTACAACCTTCTCGTAATGCAATCGTCTCTTCGTCATGTGTGCTGCTCACTTGACTTGCTACATCGCAGTGGAGACATGGTGTCGTAAGCTGGGTGCCAGTGAGCCTTCGATACGCTGCTTTGCACGCTGCTTCTCTTCTTCGGTCGGATTTGCCTTGGGTTGATCCGGCATGTGGGCAGAGTGGCCTGTGGTGCGGCCGATAGCCATGCCAACGCGGACCTATCGCGCCGTCAGTATACAGCAGCATGTGCACAGTTACCGCAAGACTTACCAAAGTCTCCAGAGCGCCACTCGCATTGGTGACGAGGTCTTCATCGAATCTCATCTTCCCTGGCTCGAACAGCAACAGGAGTGTCGACCCTCCAAACTTGAAATATCCGAGTTCCTCCGCTCTCCTGACCTTTTCGCCCGCCTTGCGCGTGATCACTGTGGAGCCGACCATCATGGCGCCCACACAAATGACCATGACTCGTCCGTGGCAGGCGGAGTCGATCGGCACAACAACGCGCACGTTCTCACCATAGACGTCGAGCGCGGAGCGAATAGCCATGGGATTGACCGTGTAATATTCGCCCTCAATGAGCTTTGGCTCTCCCATGACTCCATCCACGGGAATGTGGAAACGATGATAGTCCTGGGGTGCCAACCGGAAAATCCCGAGACTGCCATTCTGATATCGTTTCGCATCCTGTGGGTAAGCATCTCCGAGCAATCGCTCGATGCTGAACTCGCGTCCCTTGACCCAGATGCGTTGTGCATCTTCGAGGCGGTTGAAGACGACCGAGCGGCAATCGGCGGGGCTGACAATGACATTCGGGTCGTCTGGAGCCGAACAAGGCCGGGCTCCAGGCTTCAGCTCGCGGTAAAAGAACTCGTTGAATGTCTTGAATTGCTCCGTGGGCAGCTTGACTTCATTCATATCGAGCTGGTGGAAGTTGATGAAACCCGTGATTTGAGATGCCGACGCTGGGTCATCATACTTACGACCTTGCTTGAACGACATGGAGCGAAGGAGCTTTCGCACTCTCTTCTTCTCCATCTCTCTGCTCTTTAGACCTTTGTACAGCAGACGGATGCCGAGTCGAACGTAGATGCTCATCCGTTCCTCGTTGATTTGTCCCGTCAGTCGGTCCTGGACCAGAATGTTGGCACTGTTCGCACCCAGTTTGTAGCCTCCGTACGAGACCTTGGTGATGATTTTGGAGTACCACTTTCGTTGCGCCTGAGAGCTGGTCACAAAGCCAGCCATAACCAAGTTGTTCACTGCTCGCCAGTCACTGCTGGCGCATGTCGCGATGTGTGTGATGATGTCCGCGTCAGTGGTCTTGCGACCTTTGGATATTCGAGGTTGGTGACAGATCGGGCATTCGGAAATCTCCACAACATGTTCTTCTTTCGAGTCGGGGTCACCACCGAGCTCTTCCTCCAGACCGTCCATATAGTCACCCATCTCACCGCTATCACCGAGATCACTGACCTCCAAAGCGGGAATCGAGGTCTGGCGAGGACGGTAGTTGAGAGGGTCGGAAGCGTCCAGGTAGGGTGTTCCGACTGCAGGGCTGTGCTCGGGCGAGCTGGGACTATTGGTGACAGTAGTGAAGCGCGCGGTCGAGGTGGACGGGTCCGCGTTCGCCGACGAGCGATGACTTGCATAGGGGAGAGAGTCACGGCTCTTCATGAGCTGTTCCTCCAGGCAGATGACGGCCTGATCCAGGGTCAGATATTCTTCACCATTGACGTCTGCCCAGCGTTCAAAGAAGCCATCGATGGTCTTGTTGTGGAGCGTGCTGCCGAGAGTGTCAAGCATCGTGACAAGCTCGATCTTGTCAATCTTGCCACTCTCGTCGGCATCGTATTGTCGCAATAGGACGCGCCAGAACTGCTGGCGGAGAGCCCGATATGGTAGGTACTTGGCCCGAATATAAAGTACCGGATGATGCTTGCCTTCCCAGCGCTGGATGTTCTTGAGTTCGAGAGGAAGTTCGAAAGCATGCAAGCCAGCTTCGTCGGCAAGATCGAGAGCATTTTGGTCGTCGTGAGATGTGAGCGCACCACTACTAGACATGCGCACTGCCGGCGGTCTCGTCGTCCGATCCCCAATTGATACCTCCGACGTGCGCTGCTGCAGAGATGGTCGAGATGCCTCGTTTTGGGGCAGTGAAGTCAGAGTCGTCAAATTGCTACTGCTCGATGACTTTGCCAGTTTGTTGAGATTGGTCGACGAGTTGGCTTTGCTGTTAAGCTTGGGGAGATCATTTCGACTCGACGACCTGGACAGTGGATTGCGAAATCTTTTACGCTTTTGGTACTCTGACTCTACTGCCTCGGGATCAGGTAGTCTATAAAGGCCCGTGTCTGGATCGGCCTCGGGCGCGAGCTCTCGAGCTCGCTCCAGTGGGAAATTGGCAGTGCCTACAAAGTCGTTTCCAGAGAACTTGTCACGATCCACCACAGCGAAATAGAGGCTGAAGTTCTGTTCATTCTTCTGCACCTGGAACACCAGCTTTTCGTCATAGACAGGATTCAGATCGTGCCTGACGACGCGGGTGCGATAGGTCTTGCGGCCCAGCGAGGTCACGACGAACGGATCCATATCGAAGGTGGTTTTGGTCATGTTCTTTTCCGGCGGCAGATCAGTGACTTTGTTGACCTCGAGGTACAGCACTCCAGCAACATCTGAAGTGGCGCCAAACTCATATGCGCTCGTCTTCTTCTTACGCCGAAGTCGTCTGAGCTTTCTCCGACGCTTGTGGCGTTGCTTTTCCTCCGAAGACGTGCCCACTGGTGTTCTCGCGCCATCATCCGTCTCATCGGAAGGCTCCTTCTCGTCGTCGTCGTCCTCTTCGTCCAGGTCATCCAGGTTGCTGCTATTCATCCTGCGAAGGAGTTCCTCGTCGTCATCTTCATCGTCGTCTTGCTCCGGGTCTGAGACCAGTCCAGAAAACCTCTGTAGGATCTGCTGCGGCGTCGCTGCGGTGTGGATGGGGTCCGATAGCTTGAAGCGGATCAAGACGTCGCCCGAGATGTTGCTGTCTTTCTTCTGCTTCCGCCTCCCATTCCGCCTGCCTTCCAGCTTGAACCACTTGGGCTCTGGATGGAGGTTGCCAGCAGCAAAGATGTCCTCCAGCACCACATCAAATTCGCCCATGTAGTCCTTCCTGAAGCGGTCCTTGTCCCAGCACACGGCTTCGAGTAGGGCCGAGTCGGGCGATGTGACGGGAAACTCGAAGGTCTGGTTCCATTCGGGATTCAGCGACTTGCCCACCACACTCGTCGCCTCTTTGGACTCGCCCAGAGTCAAGACGAGGAAGGGGTCAGAGAAACCACTCTTGTCTTTGGCAGCGAGGTTGCGGGCTTTGAGCACTTGCACATGCAGGAGCAATCCCATGCCCATATGATCCCCTTCCATTGGCTTCGCGGGAGGCCGTGACGCATTGGACATGAGGTAGCCGGGGCTTGAGGAGCGTGTCGCTAGAGGGGTTGTCGGCGCAGATGTGTTATTGTTGTTGTTGATGTTGTTGTTGGCATTACTCGAGGAGGTGTTGCTGCTGCTCTTGACGCGCTTGAGGGAGAGAGCTGACGGGAGATGCGGGCGAGGCATGGCGGTGGCGGTGGCAGCTCATCAGCCTTGCCGTTTCAGGCTGCGAGTGGTAGGGGTCGGCAGCGTGTGGTAGGCTGCGTCTGCCGTGATGCGTCGTGCCAAGTGGTTAGGGACCTAGGGTAGCAATGGTAGGTCTGGGTGAGGCGCAGAGAGAAGCTCGGCGTGTTCAGCCCCGCGGATGACTTTTGGCTGCGATGATGTAGGAGAGGAGGAGGAGGTGGTGGTGGTAGTAGTAGTCGTAGTAGTCGTAATCGTCGTCGTCGTCGTCGTAGTAGTAGTCGTCGTAGCGAATGGGTGGTGAGGAGGAGGAGGAGGAGGAGGAGGAGGAGTGAACAGAGGTGGTGGTAGTGGTGGCTGTCGTCAAAGGGAGCAGCATGAAGAAGACGGAAGAAGGAAGAAGGGAGCAGGTCCGAAGCAGCAGTTGGTCCGAGGATTGATGAAGGGACATACATAGTGTAGAACAAACGGCCGCTGCTCGAAGTAGACGTAGACGTCGAACTAGCAGAACTAGTACAGCTCAGCTAGCACAAGTCGCCAGGCTGTGGAGGCCAGAAATGCCGCATTGTCGTGGATTCTCGCCAACAATTCACCGCAGAGTGCCGCGTTGCCAGATGGTCAGTACATGGGCCTTGTTAGCTACAGGTATCCGTGTTGCTACAGGTTATGTAGTGCCATAGTGGTGGAGTATAGAATTCACGAAGGTATGTCCTGATACCGAGTGTGGCACTGGAGAAGGAGGTAAGGTCATGTCACAACAATATACTTGGAGGTATAGATGAGGATATAATAACAATGAATCTAGCTCTACGAGAACGAACTTTAGTCACTGCGAACGATGAGTTGGTGGCATTGGCATTGGCAGTGGGCGCATCTCCCGTGTCCATGTCCATGTCCATGTCCGTGTCTACCTATTCCCATGTCTATTCCCATGTCCACCTGGTGACCTGGGTATGCCCATATCCATGCTCAATCATGCCGACGCCTGCTCGAGCGACGAGGTGGAGTCGAGTCACGCAAGGCTCATCAAGCGGCCCCTCGGGGGAAAGAAAGGTGAGGTGGGTGTGGATACCACACTTGACACCATCATCATCATCTATTCTAGAAATTAATCTAGAATTCCCACGTTGTTCGTCCCGTCGCACGGCAGCACTGCTGGAATCTGGATCTAACCGTCGTACCACAGTCACCACAGTCACCACAGCCCTGAGCCAAGTAGGACGTAGAACCAGGAACCAGACTTAGTACTACTACGGAGGTACTACATACAGCAACACGGTTGACGGCAACGGATAGATCCAGTAGAGCTTGAGTGCACAAGCTTCCTCCGTTCCCCGTTCGGATCTAACCCCAGCGGCCCAGAATGACAACCATACCTATCGTAGGTAGTGCAAAGTAACGTGACGATATGAGTACGATGACAACGCGCATACATCTACCTCCTATACCTCCTCCTACCTCCCCCTACCTCCTCTTACCCAAGGTACTTACTTGTACTTTATTTGCAGAGCGTAGACCTACCGACCCCGACAACTGCCACGAAGCTCCAGAAAAGGGTTCATTCTATCATGCCTCTCCTATCCACGCTGACAGACGTGAACCGCAGCCTCCTCCCACTCCTTTCACCATCCCCGAGCAAGTGTACTACCCCGTGGAAGAGGACAATATCATCTTGGTGCGGCCTCACCCAACCCGCTGCTCCAGTCATGCCACCACCGTGCCTGAAAAGTAAGAATTCGCGCAAAAGTGTTTTCATTCACTCTCCATTGCTGGTTACGTGTTCATCGGTCCGTGCCAGTATGCGTAGAAAGCGATAGATCGATCTCATGCATCCCAAAGCCGCCACGGCTTCCATGCCAACCGACTTCACCAAATCACCATGCGGCTCGCAACGGCCACGCGCTCCCCAATCAGGAACATACTAAGCTTCCGCGAAAACACGGAGGCAGATGGTACTGTCAATCACCAAGCCTTGCACATCTACGCATAGAGGTGCCCCAGCGCGCATCATCACGCAGGCCAATCTCGACGAAGACGCACACTTAATACCCCTGGAGCGCACTCTCGAGAACACACTTCCAGAGCATGGCTCAGCCTCCTCCCGTGTGGCAAATTCCCTTATACCAAATGAGCCTGGATGAAGCCCACGCCTATTTGATCCAAGAACTATCCCGCCCTCTCACCCCACGCGACCAAGAGTTGAGATCCTCCTTGAAGGAATTCTTCACCGCGTGGCACCATTCGGATAATGTTCTGGCTGTCTGTGGAATACTTGACGAGTTGCTGTTCGGCCGCCTCTTAGGGCACCGTGTTGGTTATGTCCATCTGCCTATGACTCCCCTGGGAATGACAGAACTTTGCCACGAACACAGCATTCTCAGTCGCGATTGGTTACCACCTCACAATTATACCGTAATCTCCGCTTTGCGCTGGGATTTGGTGGACCATCTACAAAATGGACCGGGATGTACAATACGAAAAAGCTATGCCGGCTTATGGGGCACCCTAATTCACGAAATGCTGCATGCATACACCATTCTGGCTACTGCAACAGGGGAAGACATTGAAACATGCCACTGCGGCATTAAAACCGAACACGGTCCCAAGTGGACTAAGACCATCACCATGCTGGCGGCAAGACTGAATCTCGGAATCACTCCAGACGACATGACGAACCGTCTGGAGGTATGCCACGAGCCCGGCGAATTGGTATCCATCAGAGACTACACCGGCCTGAAGCGAACCGACGGACGACGTTACAGCCATAGTCAGACGTACGAGGTCATCCGCAACACGAAATACTCGAGGGACGACGCCGAAGGACGAGTCCTCCCCTTGTTATCCGATCCAATCACCGCAGCAACAGAGTTGCCAGAGTTGTCGGAGCAGGACCTTGGACCATTATCCCCAACCCAAGAACCACAAGCAAAAGAGGAAAACCTGCCATGCCACAGACCTCGCAGACGCCGAGAAACCTTTCCCGGGCGTATGATAGAAGATTTCCTTGGAATAATGCGACTCGATTGTACGGGTGAGACGATGGCGACGCCGTATGTAGGCAACTACTGGCAATGTGAGTAGTGAGTTGGCCTCCCAAGCGTTTCTGGCGGTGTTTTCTTCTTTTTTTGGGGGTCTTTGCTAGAGAACAACAACAACCGCCAAACGTAAGTATGAAATGTATTTCAAAAAAAGAGCAAGAGAGTTTCTGTCTCTCTGCCCTTGGTGTAGGTAACCACACCCCCTGTCTTCCACAAGTATCGATACTGCCGTACTCGAATGAATAGGGAGGCTGGAGGGGCTGCCTCCCTCTCTGGTTGTAGTATGATCAACCAATCTACTGATCTTCAAGAAGCTAAACTCGCAACATCAACGCTGCTGGTTAGAAGCAAAAGGAGGTTTCAAAAGATCTCTCTGCTTGCAACATTGTCGACTGAACTACGTATCTTCACCAAGCAACAATACTACCCGATTCGAATCAAAACGAGCATTAAAAGGACTCTGTCTCTCTCTGTACTTAGTATTATCAACCAAACTACTGATCTTCAAGAAGCTGAACTCGCAACAACAATACTGCTAGGTAGAAGCAAAAGGAGGTTTCAAAAGATCTCTCTTTCCCTACGAGATGATCGACTGAACCACGCATCTTCACTAAGCAAAAACACTCGCTAATGAGGAGCAAAACGAGCAGTAGAAGGCCTCTGTCTCTCTCTCTGCCCTTGGTATTATCAACCGAGCTATCTAGAAACAAGAAACCAAACTCGCAATAACCACGCTGCTGATTTGGAGCAAAAGGATGTTTCAAAAGATCTCTCTGCTTGCAATATTATCGACTGAACCACGCATCTTTACGAAGCAAAAACACTCGCTAATTAGGAGCAAAACGAGCGTTAGAAGGCCTCTGTCTCTCTCTGCCCTTGGTATTATCAACCGAGCTATCTAGAAACAAGAAACCAAACTCGCAATAACAACGCTGCTGGTTAGAAGCAAAAGGAGGTTTCAAAAGATCTCTCTGCTTGCAATATTGTCGACTGAACCCCGTATCTTCACTAAGCAAAAGCACTCGCCAATCAAACGTACAAGGAGTTTCAAGCAGTCTCTCTCTCTGTATAGTATAACCGACTAGGCCTCCTATTTTGAACGAGCAGCAACACTACTAAATTGGAATTGAAGGAAGATCGCAGCAGTCTCTCTCTCTGTAGTATTATCCACTAAGCTACTTATCTTGAAGAAGCAAAAACACTCGCCAATTGGACACACAAGGAGTCCTAAATGTCTATCTCTCTCCCTGCCTCTCTCCCCTTTAGTACCCTCAACACCCTCACCAATCCTCACCCAAGCAAACCACCACCACCACCACCCCCCCTCATCTAATTCGAATCAAACCCCGTCTCAAAAGGCCTCTCAGCCCTAGGCGTCAACCGCGCCAAATGTCTCCGACTCCCATCCTGCCAATCCAAAATTGCCGTGTGCGAAGTCGTACGATTATCCCACACGACAACCGTCCCCTGTTCCCATTTGACTCGCACCTGCATATCTGCGCCGAGCGCAATGTGTTGGTAGAGGAAATTGAGAAGGTGGTCGGATTCTTCTTTTTTGAAATTGATGATGCGACGGGTCTGGAAGATGGGGATTTAGCAAAGAAGAAAAGAAAAAGAGGTGAAAAGGGGAAAAAACTTACGAATTGAGGATTTACAAATAGAGCTTTTTCACCCGTGACGGGATGCGTGCGAACAATCGGATGGATATTACTGACGGGATCTCTACGAACGATGGAACCTCGCGCGAGAGCAGCTTCGGCCTGTTCGTGACCCGAATGGACTGCTTGCAGGCCATGCAGACGTTTCTGAAACTCGGGAGACAAGCGTCGATATGCGACGGCCATGTTGCAAAAGAGCGTATCGCCGCCTGCGACGGGTCCGTCGAGAATGTATAAAAAGGTGGTGGAAGGGGGTTGCATTTCGTACGTCACGTCCGAGTGCCAGGTGATGGAATTCGTTCGTTCCTGGTAATAGTCTTGTGCGGTCGTGTCGGATGCGCTGCGGTGCACGAGATGGACTTTGGGGAATCCCTTGGGTGCGCCTGATACGGGATGGATGTGACTCGGGCCGTAGTATTCTGCAAAGTCCTGGAAATTTGGGAAGTCAGTTCAAATGGTTCGGGCTTCGACCAAGTATATAACTTAGACAGCTTGATGGGAGGGGACCATTGTAGTACGTACGATAGCCTCCTGAATAGGTAAATCGGCGAAATCCTGGTCTCGAAAAGCTACCACTTTATGCTGCGCAACAAAGAGCGCAAGTTCGTCTTTTCCAGCGTTGTTCAACTTGCTCAATTGAATCCCACTGACTTCGGCTCCAATATTCGCGGTGAGCTCCTTCACATGGCTCCCAGCAGGAAGTAAATTGGGAAATGCCGGATCTGCATTCTTTCCGGGCTCGACAGGCTCGAATGGCTCGTATGGTGGAAGTTTGGAGTTGTCCCAGTATGGCAAGTAGTGCGGATAGGCTGCAGGAGGATTCTTTTGGTCGCCATTCAGCTCCACATCATATTTCGTGGTGGCTTCACCTTGCGCAAAGGCCTCTTTGGAATGCTCGCCTTGGAGACTGTCTTTCTGGCGGATCTCCTCGGCTTGCTTGTCAGATATGATGTGTTCTGCTACAGTGGTGGTCTCGACGAGAGCGGGTGCCATGGTGTCTGATTGGTGATTGTAAAGGATGATTTTCGAAAAGTGTGTCCTGCTGCAATTGAATAGTCGTATCACACTCTAGCTCGTTTCGTGGTAAGCTGAAGAAGAAGTACGGTAGAAGTCACAGTAGGTTATTAAATAGGCAAAGACAAGAGACCGACCGAGCGCCGAGCTTGAGCTCATATATACAATGTCTATCGACATCCCGGCGTCGGTCCTGTGTCCATATTGCGGCATCACAGGATCGAAGACCCTGTCCTTCTTGACGTGTCCGGCTATAGGTTGACAGGCGCAGGAGCTGTCTGGCGAAGCTACCTAGCCAGCATCTTCGTTGTGGTTGCTCACGTCTAAGCCAATGGTCAAGCACAGCAGAGTGGGGTCCTGGTATTGTACCATAGTAACCATACAGCAAGGTGGAAGATGCGTGCCGAGCAAAGACGGGCCATCGGCGACAGTCCGTGATTCCATCATATCGACAACCACCAATATTGACAATGTGAGCTCGATCAAGAAGGTCAAAGTAGCTTCTGCGACATTTCTCACATTGCTCTGAAATGACGTGCTCGCTTGATGATTGTCCCAGTGCTATAGGTGATAGCCCAGCTCATCGTAACATGGCCTACGCCCTGCCTTTGGACTGCCACTCGGTCTGCGTTGGCACCAGATTGTCAGCAATGCTCACTCACAGCGATCAGATGGATTAGTAGACCAGCGTTGCACTCGCTCGAGGACGATTACAAGCCTGTCCCCCTGGACGAGGGCGATCATTATTGATATGATTCCAAGCTTAGGCAATGGGCTCCCAAAGAGGGTGGATGAATAATTGGCAAGTTGTCGAGTGCACCAGGACCGTCGACTCCCTCACTGCTCCCCTCGCTCCCTTGTTGGCCTGTTGGATTAGTGTACCAGACTTGAGATGGTCTCCAAGCACTACATCGCCAAGAAAAAGTGCTTCTAGAACTCGAGTCGTCCAGCATTTGCCTGTGAGATATTTCATGTTTTCATCAATAGAAGAAGATGCTCGAAATGGGACACCATGTGGAAAGACGAAGAGGAGGATTCTTCTTCCACCTGTGACAACCTGTCGACCACAAAAGATGAGGGCAACCAGCGCTTTGAGTCCCGGATCGCGCACTCACTCGTTCGTTCGTGAAGCCATAATTCCACTTCCGGCAGAGCATCACCGCCAGACTTCTATTAGAAGCGCTCATTGGAAGTGTCCATGATTAATGTTGATGTAAATATTGGTGTAAATATAGTCCGTGGATTGTGGTCGCGTCGCAGCAGAGTTTGAAGCGAAATATCGCCACCGAAAAATATGCCCCACTTCTTGTTAGTCCGTACCTTAGGTAGGAGGTAGTTCTGCCTCCAACTTCTACCTCCTACACTCCACACCCGCATCACATCCATATATTCCCCTCCCCTCACACCTCTTTCTCAGAGAAAAAGAAAGAAAAAATGGCAGACGAAAACATCTACGACGAAATCGAAATCGAAGTGAGTAGTTTCTCCCCCATCATCATCATCTCCCACAAAAGAGAAAAAGACCCCCCTCCCCACTTCCACAACGTCTCCCTCCCCCTCACAAATAAAAAATATAAAAAAAAAAAAAAACAAAAAGAACTAAAAACAAAATCCTTTCTGACCTTATCACAAGGACATGACCTACGACACCACCCTCCAAATCTACCACTACCCGTGCCCATGCGGCGACCGCTTCGAAATCAACATTGAAGATTTACGCGAGGGCGAAGAAATTGCCGTGTGTCCCAGTTGCAGTTTACAAATTCGTGTGATTTTTGATGAGGGGGATTTACCCCTGCCGCCGCCGCCTGATGATGGTGGGAATAGTGAACAGCAGAAGCAGCAGGCGGTGGTGGAGGTGGTTTGAAAGATGGAACCTTTTTTTGGGGAATGGAGGAGATGATATGGGAGATCTCTATGGGAGATTGTGGGAGATGTGATATGATGGACACGGCACACACACACACACACACACACGCACGAGAGAGCTTGATGTGGGTTCACGGATGAATGGCAAGCTGACGCCGAGGATTCGTGTGCTGTAGAAAGGTGGTGGTTTTCGCTCGATGCCACTCTTCGGGAAGTAGCGTCGTGCGAAAAGAGGCGGAAGTCTTCTACACGATGAAAGCTACGTTCCCGGCAGAAGCAGGGGAGGCCATGCAGCATTGCTGCTGGAAACTGCCAGAAGAAGTCAAGGCGAGGCCTAGACAGCAGATGACCGGGTCCGCGGCAATGACAGTAAGAAGCGCAGAAGGAAGAGCGAGCGAGACGGGAGAGAGAGAGAGAGAGAGAGAGAGAGAGAGAGAGAGAGAGAGAGAGAGAGAGAGAGAGAGAGAGAGAGAGAGAGAGAGAGAGAGAGAGAGAGAGAGAGAGA